TCTTACATAGCACATAACCGCTGAGCAGATTTGCCTTGAGCAGCATATCGAGCTAGCACTATGGAAATATTTCATAAGACATTTAACAAAGTGTTTAAGGTCAAATAGACACATGTTAAAATGCATGGGATGAAACTCTAAGCTCTGCTGAAGGGAAACAGACTCACAACACGACTAATAACCGTATCCTGCAGCTATCGTCAAAGTCATCTGAAGACTACAGTGTGGAGCCGACATGTCATGACTATCTTATGGTTATTGATATTACGCTTTCCTTTGCGGGCTAGACACCCCGCCAGTCATACAGAACAATCAGGCGCAGGACAACAGGATACTGTATTTTCATTACTCTCTGTGAAGAGCTTAAACAAAAATAAAATACGTCTGTAGTCATGAAAGGAAAATGCTGCAGAAAAGAAGTTCAGGCATGGACGTAAAAGTGTGTAGAGATTGTAGTGGAACAAAAAATACTTTGAAATTTTATATTTTCAGGAATAGCCATATTTTCTAGCATACTGTATATAAATTAAATAAAATCAACTAGAATAAAATCAATTAAAATTTCTGTTAGATTTAAATTGCAGGTTCAGTGCTTCCCACAGGTTTGAAATATACTTGCGGTGGTAGTCGGATTGAAACACCTTTTACCCACAGCACATAAATCGTTAGTTATATGCGACAAACAAAACACAATTCGATTTTTAAACACTATTTTGTATTATGTTTAAACTTTTTTCTTTTAAGTGTGTTAAAGTAAAAAAGACTGTTGAAATAAATAAATAAATAAATAAATAAATAAAAACACTGTTTCTCTTTTATGCTAATCAGTAGACATGTGCACTCACTGACATGGTTAATCTGCTCCTCTCGATCTCTGAATCAAGTTCAGGTTACTGTATTGGCATGACATTTTGTACAGTATAGCCATCATCAAATTATTAAAATATACATCAAATGAAAAATAATTACATAAAAAGGAAATAAAAACAGACAATACCTTAAAAAGTGTGATAATTACAAGATTAAAACGTGTAGATTATTTAAATAAGATGAATAAGTTGATTAGCCATTTCTAATGGTCTACCAATATTCTTCAGCCAATTTAAATGTAATTTCATCCTCTCTGAGTATTTAATCAAGTTTTGTTTAGATTAAAGAACAAATTTTTTAGTGCCTCTCTCTGCGCATAAATTTAACGACAGCTTAGAAAACGAAAGAAAAACCAAATCCTGAACATTTTAGTAGATTTAGAAACCCTGGCTTTAAGCAAAAAAGACACAGGTCTTTGTGTGTCTGAAGAGCACATGAGGCTATCTGTGCATTGATAGTGCGGACACAGAATGAGCAATATTAAATGGGTAAAGGAGAGTAGATTTTTCCCTACTTAATCGCTCGCGGATGTGTTAAAGTGTCAAATTGTCACTAATTTATACTTTGATGGCCATTAATATACCTAGGCGGCCCGCCCGCAAAGTCTGTGTGGGAAGCACTGAGGTTGTTACAGTCACGAGCAATGCTTTGTTTGTTGATTTTTGACGTTAGCCACCTGTGCCGATCTCTTGCCTAGTTTTGACTACTCTATTTACAGAATGCAGAATTCAATACAGAACTGTGTTTCCTGGTTTGTTTGACAAGTGTGAGTGCTCCGAATCAGGCCCAAGTGAAGTTCAATTGGCCAGCCCTGGCTTGGTTGGAAGAGGTGTCCCAGAATATTATTCAATTCGGCTTTGGTGAGGTACACTTGTAGTGTGAGTGCAAAGTACGCCTGAGCCCGAAACTTGAAGACGTGACGTCACTTTTAAGGGACCGTTTCCTGTGGCTTTTTTAATCATTCTTACTTTTTATAGAACCAAACTGTCTAGTTTATTAAAGATGCAAACCTCTTCAGCAAACCTCCTATTACCTGCAGCAAGAGGTCTTTTATGATAGTTTATGAGTGTCAAAAGTTGTGGATCTGTTTGGCAAAATATTTGACTGTGTGTAACTGCATCCCAAACGACTAAAATGCTACACTAAAGAAACTTCCACTGTGTTGAGCGTGAGCACTTCTCTTCCTAAACTGAACAGTTGCATCATCAATGAAGTAAGTGTGCTCAGGTTCAGAAAGCAAGATACTGTGTGAGTGCAGGTCGTCGGAGGAGATGGGAGGGGGACAACCGTGCTTCAGCACAATTCAAAGCAACCATGCACAGTAAGAGTATGCCCTAAAGCCCCGTTTACACTGACGCATTTTAGTGTTAAAACAGCATTTTAGAATGAAAATGGTCCACATCCATATTTGCGTTTTATCTAGCATTTCTGAAAAGCTCCCCATCCACACTACACCTCTAAAAACGTACTTTACATGACCACACACACACACTCCGACATGTGCTGCAGCAAATGCGGATGTCTGAGCCCCAAGCAGTCAGCGGGTGTTAAGAGCACACCTACCCAGGTGAGAGCAGCGCATGTCAGACAGTTCATCAAGCATCTACCACTGGATCTCATCTCACTATAGTTGTTAAACATGACATTTAATGCTCCATTTTCACAAAATTATCAGTTTTCAGGGCTTGAAAACTCTAGGGTGATGTGGACGGAAGGTGTAACTGTAGCAAAAGTTACGAGTTTTAAAACTAAAATGTATTAGTGTAAACAGAGCCTAAGTGGATACCACTTTTGCACCAAGACAGTTTGAGGGCTGGTTCAGAGCCGGAGCCTAGTTCCAAATTAGATCTCCAATACCCAAAGCACTGGCTCTAAATCAGGAAAAGATATTCTTAAAAGAATAATTAACACAAAAATGAAAATTACTCAATAATTTAATCACCCTCAAGGCATCATCTGTGTATAGGGCTTTAGTTTTTCTTTCAGACAAACACACTCAGGGTAGTTTTAAATTGTATCCTTAGTCTTTCATGCTGTATAATAGTGTTTGATAGATGCTTTTATTTTGAAGCTTCCAAAATCATATAAATCTGTTGTGTCTGTATTTTGACACTTCCACATTTGTGTTGCTGGAAAAAAATTAGTGATGTCAGACTGAGCTTTGCGGTGGTAGTCTAGCCCATAGAAAACCAAAGTGGTTTTTAGAAGTCTTACCAGATGAGCCAGATCCAAATAGCACTATAGCTGTAAAAAAAAAAAAAAACTAGCACCCGGTTCAAGTTGGTGGAAAAGAGCTATAAGTGCTCTAGAAAGACTGCAGATGCTATCTTTCACCTAGTAAGATACTGGGATTATTTCAGTTTGACCCTCACAGAGGATGTATTTGCTAGCAGCGAGCCATTGTGTGTGTGTCATCAGTTGCACACTTGTTATTGCAGTGCATTATTGGATTGAATGAGTACACTCAGAGTGCACTCAAGGTTTTGGACACCATTACAAAAGGCTGAACCCTCAAATGCTGCACTAAAATTGTATGGGCTATTTCAGACAGCTCCTTAAAGTAGAAGCGAAACAATTACTGGTTCTTAAAAGTGAGTTAGTGAATCACACGTTTAACAAAACAGTTAAAAAATATTCTTTAGAAACATGCAACAATTCAATATTGTGTCAAAACAATGATGAGTCTGCATAGCCAACACACACTTTTTTTAGACACACTTTTCGTTATTATTTATTTATTTATTTATTGAACGTTGAAATATAGAGTCTATATCAGAAGCTTAGGTGATTGTCTAACAGATTATTTTCAATTATTGAATGTGAACAATAAACCTTAACTGCACCTCAAGATAAGTTGAAAGTAAAAGTTTAAACCATTTCCATATGAATCATTTTTTATTTCATATGTCTAATAAATGAAAAAGTCACTTCCAGGGAAACTAGCACAATATATCAATGATATATTAATGAAACTGAAAGTCACTTTGACAGATGCTGCATTCACACCAGACGCGGAAGAAGCACCAAGCGCAAGTTATTTACATGTTAAGTCAATGCAAAGATGCGAATAAACATCCTGAGGCAAATAAGGCTGTGGGAATGACGCGATTCGCTGAAAATCTGAACTTGAGCTGACATTTGCACTGTGTTAACCAATTAGGAGCTTACTCTTGTCTTCCTAAAGCACTGAAGCTAGACAGACCATAGCACTGCCTATGACGTAAATCCGCAACTGTTGTGAAGTGAATTTGACGTGCAAATGAAGCAAATTTGACGCGTGAATGAAGCTAGTGAACTAAAAATGTTCACGGATCTTTTTACACGCAAATAGCACGATTAATTCCCATGTACTACATCTGGTGTTAAGACAGCAAACACTTTTTCTTCTGTTTTTAATACATCATGAGTGAGAAATGTTACACACAGTAACAAACGCTGTCATGTTATCTTGAGTTTGGATTCGGGTGCCTGATATCGTTTTGATGATGTACTATTGCTCAGCTGTTTTGAAAACCATTTAACAAACATTTGAGAGTTTGGTCATTCTAACATCATCTGTTGGGGCTAAATGAGTGTATTTCTTAATAAAATGTGTATTTGTGCACATTTCACGAGTTCACGTGCTCAATCAATTGCATCAACATGGTAAATGATTTTGGCATTGCTGTCCTGAAGCGGGAGGTCCAAGCTATCAACAACGATATCACTCACCCCGAAGAGAGCTCAGACCTCCCGTCCTTGGAGGAAGCTTGACTTGAGCTCAAAGTATGAGTTTCCCTGTATAAAACAGGAGGAGATGGGAAGGTTGACGGATGTCGGACCAAAAGTCTAGTGAAACTGATCAGGATCCTCCTGTACTTACGTTAGGAACTTCATATTATCAGGATTCTGCCACCTCTGTCTTGTAAATTCATATTTTGGTGGCAGAGTTCACCCTCTAGTCTAGTTTTTTTTTTCCTTTATGTTGTGCTCGGCTCAAGTTTTCTTGGGTCAAGCACTCATATTTCATTGTCTGTCTTTGTCTTTGTATGAGCGACATCTTGGCCGTGCTCAGGTCATGCCTGCACCTACATTCGGGCATGCTTGGGATGCGCACTCTCATCCTGGTGTGTTTGTTGTTTTGTTTGCAGCATGGTGTTTTAGTTTTCAATGCTCCAGTCTAGTTGATTTCGGTTCCGGTTGGCACTGAGATTGGAACATGCATGTGCGAGTGCACGGTAAGCGCTCTGTCTGTGTTGCCGTTGTTTGTTGCACGTGGTCTGTGTTTCATGTGAACACACGGTTATCTAATTGGCTGCATGTTCTAGTCCTGTTTTACGTGAGCACATGGCTTCTGTTGTGTCTTTGTACCATGTGCGCTCCTGTCTATTGTCTACTCCCACCCTCCTTGTTAACCCATTGTTATTTTATTATGTTCACCTGTTTGTTTGCCAACTTGCTCTTGTTTATAGCTTCGTCTGTCTGCTGTCCTTTACCACTTCATCATACGTAGTTTATTCGTGTCATGTTGCGTCGTGTCCTGCCCAGCCCTGATCCTTGACTGCTTAGGTAAGTTTATTTTATGTTAATGTTTTCCGCCTTAGGGTTTTTTTGTTTGTTGTCTTTTTGTTTTATTTTAGAATTAATAAACATTTAATTTGCTGCACTTGAGTCCCTGCTCCTTTCTTAACCCTACAACCTTGACACGCAAATCCTTTTATCAGATAACAGTCAATCAATTAATAAAGACCGAAAAAAAAAAATCAGACATATAATTGATGTGCACATTTATTTTAGAATGTATACACATTATTCTTAGATGTCTATTAGATTCTTACAGACAGCCCAAATTTAGCCTGGTTTTAGCCAAGAGGACTATGTTTAGACGTCTATTAGACATTTTTTAAAAACAAAATAAAAATGCTTGCTGAGTAGCTGTTGAAAAAAAATTTATTGTTTTGTGAATAATTTATTTTCTTTCAATAGGCATCACATTTCATGTTTGACATCAACTCTTCAGTTTTACTAGGCTTTTGGCTGAGAAAAAAAAAAAAAGCTGTGAGGGTTTTGGTCAATGAGGCTTGCAGTAATACCGCTCTCTCCCTTTCAAGGAGAGATCCAACAGTCTGTATCACAAGGGATTAGACCATGGGGAAATGTTCCTAAATACTGCCAAGCAAAACTGCATTAGAATGCACGGTCGAGTCTAATTAAGGTGGTTTCTAAAGCATTATGTGGTGCAGTTGAGCAGGCCAAATACAAGACAGTGACACTACTGCCAGTCGCTCTAAAATGAAGACAAACCTTTCCTTCTGTCTGTTGCTGGCAAACCCAGTGATATAATGCTCCTCTGACCACAGAGGCTATCACAGCACCATTAGTGGATGTTTTAACCAGACATTTTTCACAATCATAATGTGCTGCTATCCTCACTCTAGAGTAAAAGAGATGTTTGCTTCAACTGCATCGTATTGCGAGCCTATGGAGAATAAATATCATGTTAGAGAATGAATGTTCCAGATGTTCTAAATGAAACAACCCTGCACAAGCAAACCCCTTGGAATGTGAACTTGTGAAACGTCTAAATGTAACGACAACAAGGCTGTTGTTTGTTACATTTTTACTCATGCATTGTCACACATGAAAAAAATAAAAAATAAAAAGTATTGACACCATCTAGAAATGCAGTAAATTGTTAAACATTTATTTTTCTTCTCTTGTTATTAAACCTGTTTTTCTATTACTTTATTGTTTTATATTTGTGAGCCAAATCTTAAAACTGTCTTATGGTATGACTCTCAAGCATAGTTCAGTAAAACTCTTGTAAATGAAAAGGAGATCGTAAAATAATGATTAAATACCTATAAAATAAATTTTACTAGTGGCTATTTTATAAATCACAATCTTTTTTTCATTTATATTTTTCTAAAAGCATATAAGTTGATACATGTTGTCACTGAAAACCATGGTATGACACTATCCGCTAATGTTAAAGCAGGCAATTTCACCATGTAAAATGTAATTATTGGAATGACTAACTCAAGATCATGTGACTGAAGCCCCTTGTAATAGCATGTACTTGTTTTTTTTGTTTTTTTTTTGTGAATTTTTTTTATTTATTTATTTTATTTTATTTTTTTATCCCAGATGTTTTTACATTTGTAACTTTTTCGGAACCACTATAAAATTGTTGTTTTCCTTTGGTATGACAATACACTCCTGATTTTCATTCACACAAGATATATTTTGACTGACTAAATGATTGACTGTGCGACTGGCCAATCGACTGACCCACCCTCCCCCTTCCCTAAACCCAACCAATTTTACCGATTGACCCGCCCACCCGCTTACTTCCCTAAACCCAACCAATAATTTACAAAAGCCGTCCAAAAAAAGAAAAGCTCTCGTCTGATTTTTACCATGTTTTCGGATTTTGCCACATTCTCACCCTGTTATGAACTTGTTTACTTTATATTTTGGATTCTGTTTTTGGCTGATTTCTGGAACCGCTCTTCCCCGGACTCGAACCGGGTCGTCGTCGTGGTCAACTCCTCTCTGCGTCTCAAGTCCGCCAACATACATGATGAGCTAACTGGTCAAACTGGTTGCAGCGGGAAAGCCTTCCACACGGAGGTAAGCGGTCAGTCGGTAAGTGCGAAAAGGAACGGCATCATACCGCCCCGTAGCGTTTGCTTAAAAAATTAAACGCAGCCATACGTACCTCCGGCTACATAATTTGCAGTCTCCAGAAACATTCACGGGACTACATTTTCAGAATGAGCCTGGGATAGAATTATTGTATTCTATGTACCATGAATTAAATTAAGTGTTTGCTCTTCAAGGCTTAATATCAAATTTAAAGACAAAATTAAAAGAAAACAGACAATGAGCAAATGAGTTGTTTAACAAACACTGGAAAATTTTTCACTGACTATTTATACACACATTAAATTCACATTAAATATAATAATTTTTTTTAATAAATGTTTCATTTTCAACAATGTACAATTGAACAATTTCATATTAATGTCAAAAATGCTTTTAAATCATCACATTTACACGCATCTTTTCAATTTCAAGTTTCTTCTCAATTTTGTGTGGTGCAGCATTATTTAGTCGACAGATTTTGTGTTTCTTTCTGGTCTTTCCTGCTGTCAACAGAGTAGTCCAGTAAAATGAAGTAAAGACTATGACGAAATGACAGAAAGAACCTTATAGAGCCAAGCTGGAGTTAATAATAATAATAATATCCTGAGCTGCTGCTGTTCTGATGGTCGTGGGGAGTGGAGAACATGTGTCTGATTCCAGTGACGTCCCAGGGATAGACGAGTCTTCGCTGAGGCCATCTTCCAGCCTCCACCGCGGTGACTGAAGCTCTGCACAAGACTTTTGGCCAGCGGAGATATTAAAATGGTCGTGCCCAACTGAGTCTGGTTCTCTCAAGGTTTTTTTTTCTTTATCCCATCAGGTGAAGTTTTTTTCCCCTCTCCGCTGTTGCCACTGGCTCGCATGGTTCATGATTGGTAGAGCTACGCATCGATGAATTTGCTCTTCAGTGTTTGAACTCTCAGTAATGATTTTAAATCACACTGAACTGAGCTAAACTGAACTGAACTGAACTTCAACACTGAAATCTGAACTACACTGTTCCAGTTACTATGACCATTTATGTGAAGCTGCTTTGACACAATCTACATTGTAAAAGCGCTATACAAATGAAGCTGAATTGAATTGAATAATATAAATTATATATTATAATATATTATAATATATATATATATATATATATATATATATATATATATATATATATATATATATATATATATATAGATATAGATATAGATAGATAGATAGATATATATAACCGCTTTTCTGCATGGATTTGTTACCACACTAGTTTAATCCATGCTACTAACGACCTGCTTATTATTAGGTTATTAACTATAGTAGTTATAAAGTATAATCTTAATCTATATCCCTACTCCTACCTAAAACCTAAAGCCAACTTCTACTTAGTGCTTTATTAAAGGTGCTGCATTGTATGTAAGTTTTTAAAGAAACATGCTTAAACATTCTTGTTTATCTGAAAAACATTGATGAAGTCAGATATTCTGCTTTAAATGTAAGTTACGTGCCAGAACGCTGTCTTTGTTTTGGTAATTTTAACCCGCCCACTGCCAGTTTATCCAATTATATTTCAGTAACCCAGGCTGCATTCATGGAAAACAGCATATTCCAGTCATTCAATCATGAAGACTGTCAAAGCATGCATCCGTGACAGAAATGTGACATCGGTGGACAGTAACAGCCCTAAAATGAGACAGATTCAGTGTTCCATATAAGATTATTAACTAGTAAATAATATAAATATCACAGACAGAAACATTAGGTGAGCAGGTTACATTGTAACCTTGTGTCCTAACAACACGCTACAGTATGTGACAAAGTTTGCAGTGATAAACAATTTGGCTGTTTGCACCAGATGAATCATGATAGAAATGTAAATACAGCCACTCAGAAGCACAGAATAGTGCACTCACTGCACTCCAGGGAAATGGTAAGGTTTACAAACTAATTAATACATATTAAACCTCTTTAACAATATTATTTGTACATGCTGAATGATTGATATTTGTTAATTTGTCTTGATCTAAAGTTTCAAATGGTTTATTTTATTTTCAAAATCTGAGATGAACTATCTGCTGCTGTTTCAGTAGAATGGCAACAAATGTAAAATAGCATTAAAACTCACATTATTAACATTTAACACTGAATAAAGCACATGAGGTGTACCTGAGGTGACCATTGTCATTTATCCTGTTGCTTACCTGTGAGAAATAAAAGTCATTTCTAAAACATACATTTTAGGTGTTGGTTAGGACTAAAGCTCCTTTTATTTTGGAAAATATTCCTTCTATTGTGTACCATTGCTTTTAATTTGAAAACAGTTCAAATCAGCCCTTAGACTTGATAGTAAGGCACACTCACATCAATCTGGCAACCTGCTTACGTGGTCAGAAGAGGAGCCGAGTGAAAATGTGTTTTGATCCAGGAGTGCAATACCTTGTTCAACCACTGGGTGTCAAACCCGCATACAGCACCTTTAATCTAGTGGTGTTAGTTAATGGTTTGTTAATACAGTGAATTGTGACTTCAAATAAAGTATTACCAAAATAGTATTCTGTTATTATATTTATACATTCAGCTATTTGAGAATGTTTTTTTAGGATCTGTATCTAGCAGAAAACCCAGGTATGCATAGTTCTTGTTTTCTTCTTTACTCTGTCTGATGCACTCTGTTGTCAACATATAGTTTTCAAAAGAAGATCTATTGCATATTATGGTGGTGCAGCAATAAACATTGCTGACATGCCACATAAATGAAAAGGCCCAGGTTGCATTTATCAGTCGAACAGGTCATCCAATACCTCATTCACTGACATTTCGACAGTGGCTAAAGTACCCGTCTGACCTTTTACCGTTAGTGTTGTTGAGTTCTGCACCACACACTGTAAGAGCAATAAATATTAAACAGCACAGGTACACACCAGTCATAAATAAATAAATAATAAATATACAAAAGCCGCATTGAATAACATGTTTATAATATCTCAAGTAGAAGAAAAATGTTGTGTAAAATACGTGTGTGATTTTCTGGAACATGATAATAACATTTAATCATAGCTTATAGCTCTCAGCCGGGTTTCTTCATTACAAAGGAGCTATGTATTAGTGAACAAAGACTGCAGACGTAACAGAGAAAATGTGTATAATGGATTAATATGTTTAAAGGGGAAAAAAGCAAGAGGGAGGCATAAAAGGTG